CCTTGCCAAACCGCCAGTCGTCACCAAGGTTGGCCTTGGAGATGTCGTTCACCCGGCGTGCAATCTGGTCCGCTGACAGGCGCGCCGACCCCATGCGATTGGGGTCCTGGAGACCGGCCATCTCGCTGATGAGGCAGGTGCACCGTTGCAGCGGGAGGAACCGGCGTGTGATGAACACGGCGATAAGGTCGGTGCTTGTGAGGCCCTCCCGCGTCTTCATCACCGCCACCCGCTAGCAGAGATTAAGGATCTCCTGCGACGGGTTCCTGGGGTAGTAGCCCCAGTTCATCTTCGCCCGCGGCGGCGCGATGGCAAAGGCCGGAAGGTTGATGCGGTCCGCACCCAAGTTGTAGACGTAGAAGAAGGAATTCTGCCACTTTTTGGCAGAATCCTCTAGCGGAATCTTGGGGCAGTCCACCCTCGACCGCTTCGAGATGACGGTGGCGCCGCAATCAGTGAACTCCCCGGCCATCGGCCCCTACTGCTTCAGGGAGAAGAGGCACGCCCAGAGGTCGATCGTGGGTTTGACCCCCAAGTACCCCTCGCAGAGGGTGACGAAGCTCGAGAGCTGGACGATGGCGCCGGCGCCAAGAAGGTGGGGCTGGAGCCCGAAGAACTCCAAAACCGAGCAGAAGAAGGGGCTCGCCGGCAGCCCGAACCCACGCTCGAAATGAGGGAGGAAGACCACGTGCTCCGTGCCCTACGGCTGCGGCCTCTGCTCGCCCCGCGGCAAGTGCACGGCAACCTCTGTCTCCCGCCGCAACCACCGGGAGGAGTGGAGGTAGGCGATGTCCTCGACGATGACAGTCGAGCCCATCCAAGAGCCCGACGGCAGCGCCATCAATGAAGAAGAAAGAGAAGAAGAAGATGGACGATGACGGAGCTCTGCTCGAAACGGCGGGCGTCGCAGCGCGGCGATTGCAAGAAGTAGAGCAAGGGCGAAGAGGCAGGGGAGCGCGAGCGAGAATAATGTTTGTTGCCCCCTCGCCCCAATTTATAGCCATCAGTTTGAACGTGGGGGAGTGGGATCATCTGCGCTCACCTTTCCTACTACCCCGCAATAAGTGTGCACGCACGCGCGCAATAACTGCACGGGGAAGAGCAACCGACCCCCGGATGCTGCAGTAAATCCACACGCGTGGGCCAAGGGCGCGCGGCGGCAGGCCCCAGTCTGTCGCTCAATCCCATCGCGTGCATGGCCTGTCAGGCCCCTCCAACTTTCGGGCACCACGTGGCGCCCGCGCGAAGCCCAAGGGATTGCCCCAAGATTCGACGTACTCCTCGGTTCCCGCCATCACCATGATGCCGCGATCTGGTTTCTGAAAAACCAGCACACAGTGGGTGTTGCCGGACCCGGCGCTCGCAGAATTTGCCTTGCTTAAGGGGGAAACTGCGAAGGCCCTCCCTTCCAAAGGCGGCGGACCTTCACAGCTTCAAGGACTACTGTCGGGGGGATGAACCCCGGGCAGGCAACGGAACCCGGATCCTTTTAAAAAACAACGGGGCCGGCGTCGCCGCTCAAGCCGGCACGCGCTTGGCCAGGTCGCTTGACCCGGCCAGGCCCTGTGACCCAGGCGAACTCTCCAACCCGGCCAGGGACCTCGACTCGGCCTCGACAACCAGTACAAGACAGCCGAACCCGGCACAACTAAGGTTTCCCCAACAAGCCAGCTCCACCCGTGGCGTGCTCCGCAACCCAGCCATGGGTCAGCTCCCGTCCCATCCAGGTCGTATGATGGGACGAGTCTTCATCCACAGATGACCAAGACAACAGTGCCCCGCCCATGCCTCTGGTTAGCCGGAGCATGGCAACAGTGCCCCTCACCTACCCGCTGACCAGGCCCTGTGTGGCAACAGTGCTCCCGTCAACACCGTTAATGACATCAAGTGGTAACCTGACGGGGTGCCACTGTACCCGACTCGACTCGGCCACGCCATAACGATTGACAAGACGGCGCACAGTCCCCCTAGGCACGCGGGGCCCGCACCCAGGGGAACCCGGCGAACCACAGGCCCCCAACGGGTCCCAGTCCGGGCCCTCAGACGCTGATGACCCAGACCCACGAGCTCGTAACATTACCATTGTACCCCTGGGGGGTTGGTCTATAAAACCCCCCAGGAGCCCTCGCATACACAGGCAAGCAAGTAAGGATGCAGAATAGAGAAACAGTAAGCACATAGGAAACCAGCCACCGATCAGTAGAACGCACCAGGGAAGAGGGGGCAGCCTAAGCCCTGGCCAGCCTCCCTTCTTCCTCCATACAACTCAAGGAGCAACCTTGTACTGTTGCATATCAACCACACTCGGCAGGACTAAGGGTATTATCTCTCCGGAGAACCCCAAACCTGGGTATGTCTTGCGTCCCGTGCTTGCTCATGCCAACCCCGCCTCTGGAGCCCACCAGTGCCCTCGAGCCTCCTCCTCTCTTTAGCCATCCCATGGCATCTGTCGTGCGCCCACCATGACAGGGTTAGATCATGAAAATCTAGCCCATAATAGAACATGAGGCCCCGTACGAAGGGATGGAGTGGGAAACCCTAGCCCTCTAAGAAAATGGGGGAGGAACACAACCCTTTCGCCGGGCGCCAGAGTGGGGATGATTTGGCCCTCGTTGGGGAGCCTGTGGGCAATGTCTGTGGCCAGGTACCCCGCGCTCTGGAGATCCTTCACTTCCTTCTCCGTGGCGGAGGAGGCCTCACACTTGCCCTTGGAGCCTAAGCTGACCATGGCTGGAGAAGGTGGTGGCGGTGAGGAAGACCAGAACTTTTTTTGGGCGTTGGAGCTTGAGAGATTGGGAGGCAGAGGCTGGAAGAAGGCGTGGGGAAGAAAGGAGGAATCTTTTGCCCTCTTATAGGCAGTAGAAATGCCAACCGTCCCCCCACTTGTGCCTTAAAACTCGCCCATTCCCGATGAGAGTGTGTGCCGTAGTCGGATGGGTTACCCAAATCCCATTGATGAGAATCCCGTAATAAGTGGGCACAATCTCTGTTTTGAGAAGATGGGCCAAGGGGGCTCAACCTCGAAACACGAAACAAGGAGTGTGAAAATGGTTCAAAATGCTGAAGAGCCAAGTGTGACGCTTCGCTAGAAAAAGTTGTCAGTAAAGACACTATGCCTATTTTTATATATTCTGCCTTCGCAGCTAAGGGTTGTGTTAATTATACAGAGCTGGATATAGTTCTTTTATAAAGGAAAAGCTGATGTATGGCGCTCAAGGAGAGGAACCCGCCTCACAATGTCGAAGGCAATCCGCGTGCCAAACACGCCGTCATTGAAGAATGGTTCAGGGGCTACTCAGGGAGTCTTGGACTAAGGGGTCCTCGGGCTTTCGGTCTATTCGATATAGGCCGGTGTGATGGGCTGTCAAGATGAAGGAAGAAGGCCACCTCCCGTGTTCGGTTAGGACTCCTGTTTGCGGGAATGGCAAGATTAAGTGTCCGGGTATATTGTTTCCTTTCTCTGTAAACCGACTATGTACAACCCTAGGTCCCTCAGGTGTATATATAAACCGGAGGGCTTAGACCGGAGAGAGAGGATCATAACATTCATAGGCTAGACAATCTAGGGTTTAGCCCTTACGATCTTGAGGTAGATCAACTCTTGTAACCCCTATACTCATCGAATACAATCAAGCAGGACGTAGGGTTTTACCTCCTTTAAGAGGGCCCGAATCTAGGTAAACACCGTGTCCCTTTGTCCATTGTTACCATTGATCCTCAGACATACAGCTTGGGCCCCCCTACCCGAGATCTGCCGATTTTGAGATCGACAGCAGACCCAAAGATCGAGGAGGCGTCATAATTATCGCAACGAAGGGGGGCGCCTCAATTCTCGGAATGGCTGGTCAACGCAAAAGATCCGTTGTGACATCATAAGATTTTTCTGAATTTATTTTAACACGACATCATCTTTTCGTATGGTGGGTTATAAATATTTGTTCAAGGTTAACACGACAACATAGACACACACACACTCACACAATGTCTATTGAACAAGGGCCAGAGTTGCGGAGATTCAAATGTACATATTTCTATGTTGTTGCTAAGAAAAGATTAACTTATTATTGTCTACGTCATGTACTCTATTTGTAAGCTAATGTTCTTATCTTACTTTTCCTCAATAGGACTAACTATGGTTGCGTGCAGGCCCATAAATCAGGAGGTTCAATCTTCATTATTGAAAATAAAAAGAAATGGTGTTGAAATGGATTCAATGCTAGTTTTTGGGGAAAGAACACTTTTGATTGACTCATAAGAAAAAATACAAACACTACGAGCACATACACAACTTCTGCATGACCAGGAAGCGCACAGACAACACCGACACATAGGCAAGATAAAAAAACACGACCTCCAAACTTCTTGCTGAAACGAACTAAAGCTGGCAGTAGTACCCTCAGCATCAGCCGACGGTGAGAAAAAGATGCTTCAACAATGTTGTAGTTCATGGGTTTCATAGAGTAGAACACATCCGGACAAACTCTAGAAATGCCTCCAGCAAGAGGATGACGGGAATACCACCATCATTGCTAGATACAACCAGCGTAGATCAGACCTAAAGTTTTCATTCCGGAACCAAACTTGTCGAGAACTATAACAGTGACGTGACAATGTTACACTTCAAAATGCTGCACGACATCGTGTCATTCAAGTCTGTAGTGTTCAAACAACAAAACTCATTCTTGGTTCCGTGCCACTTTGTTTTCTGGACTGGATATGCATTGATGTAGGTGGAGAGGGCATAGCCTTCGAGAAGAGAAGACGCGGTTTGCAGGCAGCGTGGCGGGCGGCGCAGAGGATCCAGATCTTGAATTCAAAAGCAGTGGGAAAGCAAGCCGTTTCCGCGTTGAAACAGATTGATGATTTCCTCGCCTCTTTCTCTCTCCATCTCGACCCCTCTTGACTTTCCATTCCTTCCCCATCTCTCTCTCTCTCATCTTCCCCCACTTTGCTCCGCTTTCCCGTCCACCGCCACCGCCACCGCCACCACCGGCCAAGCCATGGATCCCTTCCACCACCTCAACACCGCCTTCTCCAACCCTTACCACCCGCTCCTCTCCTCCTCCCCGCCCCACCCCTACCACCCTCCGCCCCCTCTCCCGCCTCCGCCCGCCGCCGCCCCCGCCGACCCGCCCGAGCGGGAGCGCCTGCCGCAGTGGTCGCACGCCGAGACCGCCGCCTTCCTCGCCATCCGCGCCGACCTCGACCACTCCTTCCTCTCCACCAAGCGCAACAAGGCCCTCTGGGAGGCCGTCTCCGCGCGCCTCAACGCGCAGGGCGGCTTCGCGCGCACCCCCGACCAGTGCAAGTCCAAGTGGAAGAACCTCGTCACCAGGTTCAAGGGCACGGCCAGCGATGCGCAGCCGGAGGGCGGAGACCATCACGCCGGCGCGGCGGCGAGGGGCAGCTTCCCGTTCCACGACGAGATGAGGAGGATCTTCGACGCCAGGGTCGAGAGGGCGCGCGCATTGGAGGCCAAGAAGGTCAAGGGGAAGGAAGCCGCCGCGCGGCGCGATCCGGACGACGATGGCGGCGGAGAGGGCGACGAGGGCGAGGACGACGAGGAGGAGGCGGAGATGTTCGACGAGGAGGAGGGCAGGGCCGATGCGGAGACGAGGGGCGCGGGGAGGAAGCGCAGGAGGAAGGCGGCGCCGGCGAGGACCGCATCAGCGGGAGGAGGAGTCGAGATTGGCGAGGTCGAGGCGGTGCTGCGGGAGTTCATGCGGCGGCAGATGGAGATGGAGGAGCGGTGGATGGAGGCCGCGGAGGCTCGCGACGCCGAGCGCCGGGCGCGCGAGGAGGAGTGGCGCGCCGCCATGGTCGCGCTCGGCGAGGAACGGCTCGCGCTCGTGCGCCGCTGGCGGGAGCGCGAGGACGCGTGGAGGGCGCGCGCTGAAGAGCGAGAGGAGCGCCGGCACCAGCTCGTCGCCGCCCTGCTTGCCAAGCTCGGCGGCGACACGTCGTCCTGATCCATTCCACCAATCGCCCTTCCATGCTATGCACGCACCATGCCCTGGTACGGATCAATGTTACTCGCTAGCTAGTTACTTCATCGATTCCTCCTCCTCATCACTAGGCAATGTAATGCTAGCAGATAGTGTAATATTTTCCTCATTTTCGTGGAGATAGATTCTTAATTGCTCAGGACGATGATCCATCCATCCATCGCCGCAAAGCGCGCGCCGGGCGGCCGGATAAGCACTTTTAGACCAGTTGTAGCAGCGACAGATCAAATCCATGATCGATCTTGCATGCCTAGTGCCTTTGTTAGGGTTTCTTTAGACAGTGAGAGGTCAGGAAAGGCGGCGCGTTGGTGTGTTTGAAAAGGGTTTTGCAAACATCTTTCCTTTGTTGTTAGCTTAGCCTAGTCCATGACCTGCAACTGTAAACTCACTCACTCACTGATCTTATCAGCTTCAGAAGCTACATGCAGCTTTCCAAGTGCATGGAAGCTACATGCATGCATGATAATTAACCCATCCATCGATGTTGCTATAGCTTCTTCTTCTCCTCCTTCTCCTCATCGTTCCACAAGGTGGATGGTCATGGTCGCCGCAGGCAGAATCTAACAACGTGGGTTCTGCTTACATACATGCATTATTGCCTTTTTTTTCTCAGATATATCTCTGCAGTGTGCATGTGTAGCTTTTGCGCAACATGGTCTATATATCTATCTACATCTTTCCTTCTTTTTCAGTTGCATGCCCTAAAGAGATTTGCATCTGAAAAGTTTTCTAGTGAGAGGAAAGAAAGGAGGCGCAGCAGGGCATGATGGGGGACGCAGTCAAGTGCAGCTGCTTTGATTTTGCTTTGCTTTGCTTATCGTGTAGGAAGGGTATCAATGCCCTGCTTGTATATGTTTGCCTGATTGGCGACACATGTGTGCAGAAGCCAGAATCCACTCGAAGAACCCTGACTGCATCATGTGTTGATGCATACTAGCTAGATAGTGCTTATTTGACGATATTAAGGACTTAATTAGAAGTGGACTTTCACTAATGATGATGTAGGTAAAGGTATGACAAGTATGAAATCATGCACCAACACAGTGTGTATGCACAAAAGTAGAGCATGAACACAACCCTGTAGATACATTCGTTTTCTGAAAGAAAATTGCAAGCCTTATTTGTTATATGGAGTTTAAGTAACCACTTGATCAAGTAGCCTTGTGCCTTTAAGTTTTAAATTTTTCATGTAAATTGTGGGGGGAAATCCACAAGTATCAAGTTTCTGCATATCTCTAGTCGAAATTAATAGCATTCTATTGTAAATAATTCATCCTCCAAAACATGTTATGTGAAAGCATATGTAACTACAGCGTGAATCTTTGTGTGAAAGCCACATGATGATATCAATTGCATGTGAGACTTTCAGGTCAGTACGACTTCATGCAAGTTGTTAACTTTAGTGCATGTGTAGTCAGTATAGCTTCTAACACACTCCACAGTGTTTGGTCAACAAGAGTATAATTTGTTGTGGGGATGAAGGCAATTGCTGACCATGATTACTTTCACCAATAATCACACAATGAGTATTGACATTGGCAGTGCAGTCAGTACTTTATTTTATTTATGGACAAAAGCAAGATTTATTCAAGCCTATAACCCCTTCTTGATATGCATGGAGATACACAAATCAATACACCCTCACTCGAGTTTTTGTTTTTCTGTCAGCCACACTTCATGTGCAGTGAGCACAGTTTTAATTTTAGTGGGATTATATGGGATGCAAACATCATAATAGATGAAATAAGGAGAAATTTGGCGTCATAAGCAGATCATAAACCGATGATCTTATTTTTAAGCAAATTGCCTAGCTGGTTGGTGCGTTGAGCTTTCTTGACCTGTCACTGTTCCCTTTTGGCTGATACCCGCGTGTGATCTTGTGTGTTCACAATGGCAACAAGCAATCACAGAAGTGGGAGGACGACATGTATGTTTCCTGTGAGCAATTCTTTGGCCTTTTCCCCACATGAGATAGGAGACAAACAAATTGATTACAATCGAGACTAAGTGACCGATTTGATTTTCAATCAAGCTACTTCGAGATTATCTACTTAGATTGAATTTGCTATCATTATAAATTGTTCACACTGCTCCAATTATACATATATATTCTCCTGCTTTATAAATCTACTCTCTGTAGTAAGAGCTAGTCTCTTGACCATTAGTGTCATTTTTGGTTTATAAATGATGACAGTGGCACTACATATTGAGGTAACTGCTTCTTCTTCTGAGTTGGGAAACTGCTTTCATATTGAGATGCAGAAGAATTACTTCTTCAGTGCTTCTGCTAGATTGCTTTCACACTGGAAAAAATGATGTACTATTGTCAGTTGCATGGAAATATTGCGTGGGAAGGAACTGATGAATGTGTGATCCATTGCGGTAGTGCGTAGGCTTCCGAAATTTAATCCATAGTTTATGTGCATGCATATGGTCCATCAGCGTCAATTTTATATCCCAAGTGTGGAGTCACGGATCCCATGTTTGGCCAAAATCTAGAGAGAGACCACCTGACACGGAATTAATATATTCTCCACCCACACTGATGTGACTAACAAAATGGACCATTTGTAAAAAAAATATTGTCGATTATTCAGACTGTCCTCTTGCTTCGTTCGCCCTGGACCCTCGCGAGCCAATTAAGGAGCGGGATCGCATGCAGTCGATGTCAGCACGTACTGCTGCTACCGGCCGAGGATGACTAACAGTGTCCAAATCGACCACTGCTAACTCTACTGATGCTGATGAATCTAGATAGGGCTTGTCCTGAGAAAAGAAATGCTTCTGGTAGCATAGGGGTTGTTGTTTTGTGCTGTGCCTTTCTGAAACATGTTGCCCATGCACCTCTTTGAATGTGAGTTTTCCGGTACACTGATTGATTGTTGATTGAGTAGTGCACGCAATGCAGTGTGATAACAGTACTACCAGTAGTACTACCAGGGACAAGATATATGGAGGTCGACACCTGACCTGGGCGATGTGCTGCCGATGAAAGAACGACCCTGGCCCCTACATAGTACACCGATGGCCGCGAGTGTGTGCATATGGTTTGGCTTTTGCTTTGAAGCTCAGCCGTGCAGCTTCGTTTGCACGGTCAACTGCTTCACACTGGGTAGTATAGACGCGTACACCTCAGCGTCCGATCCATGTCATGCATGGCTGGCACGCACCCACGCCGCTTCATCGGCTGTCGGGTTTACACGCGTAGGATTGACCCAGCAATATATGCGTTCTCGCTTGGTCAAATTTCGTTGGGATAGTTTCTGGGCGCGGCTAATGTGCCGCCCACTGCGATGCCTAGGAATGGCTCGCCTACGGAGCCGGAACCTGGCCGGCCCAATAACAAGGTGCCTCGTCGTACTGACGTCATGATGTCGTCATGCGCGTTATTACCTTTTTTGTTTATTCAAATTTTGTTTATATTATGAAATAATATTAATATAATATTATTTTTTAAAAACGAACTTTTCATTAATAAGTCATGCAGGGTAAAACCGATTTTTTATGTTTTATGTCGGGTTTTTTTCCTTCTGTTTTCTTTATTATTTCCCTTTTCTCTACTTCTATTTTAAGTTTTGCTTTTTTTCACAATGCATGAACTTTTTTCAATTCTATGATTTTTTTCAAAATTGATGAACTTTTTAAGAAGGGATTTCTATTTCCGTGCCCCTCGTTCTTTAAAACTACTCAGTTTTACCCTGCAACCTTAACACTCCTCTCTTTTTGTCCCTCCTCCCTTGGCCACGACCTCTCAAAATGCCCAAACGGAGCGTTTTTGCGTTCAGTCAAACTTATTGACCGTTACCTGGGTGGGTTCCTGGTGAGTGGGCCTTGAATGAGAGCCCGATGAGTGGGCCCACCTAGACACCTTAGCGTTGCTCGGTGCGGGCTTTAAGTAATTGGGTGGCCTGCTGTGTGCGGGTATTTATGAATACAATTTCTAGAAAAGAGTCCATTTTGTGAACATTTTTTTAAATAATAATTGTATTCCTAGTTTATCATTTTTTTTCTGGATATTAGTACACATAAAAGGTCTCCATGCAAAAGGATTGCATTTTTTGACTCTTTATCATTTTCTTTCACTTTTTACAAAATGGGGTCAACATGGCTATTCATAGAGAAGGGTTGAATATCCGAAGTTCTTTGTGAATACTCCATATAATCCTACCTAAATAGCTTAAAATAATCCCCCCCCCCACTTTTTGTAACCAAACTATAACACACTTGTAGTTCAATTTTGAATTACTTTTGGTAAATGTCCAGAAATTCATTTAATCAATGGAATACAACAAAAAATCTCAAAAACTCAAGATCTTTCGGCAGTAAGCCTCCAACATGGTCCATTTCATGTAAAAATTGCAAAGGTTCAATTTTCAGTCTTATTTGTGGTACTTGCTTCACAAAAAATGGCACTTGAAAACGATAAATTTATTTTTATAACAAAATTTTGAAATCTTCCTTCGGCAATATTTTTGGCATGGTAAGCCCCATGTTTGTGCCAAATATCATCACCTTATATGAAAATATGATGTGGATATAGCCAGCAACTTGGCCATCTCGCTTGAAAGCAATGAACCTTCATAGATGGTAGTTCATTTTGTGAACACTTTTTAAACATAATCATTGTATTCATAGTTTATCATTTTTGCTGGAAAGTAGTACACATAATAGGACTTCATGCAAAAGGATTGCATTTTTGGCTCTTTTTTCATTTCTTTCACTTTTTGCAAAATGAGGTCAACATTGTCAACATGACTATTAATAGAGAAGGGTTGAATATTTGAAGCTTTTTGTGAATACTGCATATAATCCTACCCAAGTAACTTAAAATGATTTTTTTCCACTTTTTTTAACCAAACTATAACACACTTGTGGTTCAATTTTGAATTAATTTTAGTGAATGTCCAGAAATTCATTTAATCAATGGAATATAGCAAAAAATCTCAAAAACTCAAGATATTTTG